AAAAAAAAAAAAAAGAAAAGGAAAAAAATACCATAACATCCGACTAAGTAAATCAGACAGTTATAAAGCTTCCTTGCATATTACAGCCTGAAAGTTGGGTTGTTTTCTCAGGTGAGTGAAAACAATAGAATGTACTTACTCTGGTTGGGATCCCAGCCAGGGTTGCATTCCTTAATTCTTCCACCCCAGATCTGTTGGCAACTACTAGGACTACCTCAGAGCAACTTGCAGGCTCTTTTGCATATGCCAGGAGTGCTGAAAGGCTAGTACCTCAAAACAAAATAAAAACATAAAAATGCATCAAAACCCCATCCTGAAATGCTCAAAGTAACATTTTCTTGAGACGATGCTACGTTAATAATGCAGTAACTATTTATTCATTTATTTAACGCATATATAACCACTTCGCTTATAACCAACTCCAGATAGCTCACACTCAAAAGTTAAAACAGCTTTAATATGATTTTATGTGTTATCAAACTAAGCAGATTATCACATTAAAAACAGCAAAGGCCTGGCACCAAGTCAAACTTGTAATGTGCAATTATCTGATCTTATCTCAGTGCGTGGAGAAAAAGCCAGGTCTTCAAAGCTTGACAGAAGGCTGAGAGGATGAAGGCCTGCAGAATTCCAAGGGCAGAGTGTTCCGGGGGGGGGGAGGGTCTGCCATGGAAAGGGCATGCTTCTTAATTCACATCAGATGACAATATTTAGTGAAAGGGACCAGGAATGTAAGTCCTTAGAGTTCTGTGAGCTTGGTTGTTTTCTTGCAGACATTTCATTACCCAAACTAGGTTATATCCAGAGGTGGTATTCAGCAGGTTTTGACCAGTTCTGGAGAACCGGTAGTGGAAATTTTGAGTCAAATACCACCTCTAACTGGTCCTGTCCCCATCTATTCTCTGCCTCCCGAGTCCCAGCTGATCGGCTGGGTCTTCTTTTGTTGCCCTGCACAGAAGAACGGAGCTGGAAAGCAGGTTAGTGGGGTGGGGAGGGGATGAAGATTTTGCAGTAACCTTCCCCCAGGAGTGGGGAGGGAATGGGGATTTTACTGTATCCATCCCCTGCCACCCCTGCCAAGCCAAGCCACACCCACCAAGCCACGCCCACAGAACCGGTAGTAAAAAAAAATTTTAATCCCATCACTAATTACATCATCAATGTTAGCATTGATGATGTTACCTTGTTTGGGTAATGAAAGATCTGCCAGAAAACAACCAAGTTCAGAGAGCACCAAGGATCTCCCATTTCAATCCTGAGCTACAAATATTCTCCTTTATTGGGACTACGGTAGGAATGTGCCCACCCTAGCTCACCTAATAATATTGGCAGAGGCCCTTAGGGAAAGGTGATCGATCCCACAGATAACTTGGCCCTGTGCCAAATGATATAATTAATTATATCTAGTAGTAGTAATATTAATAATAGCAATCAAGTATTATTAGTAATTATATCTAGTAATAGTAATGCTACTAGTAGTATTATTACCACATTGTATATTTGGGGGCTCAGAACAAAAAAGGCTTATTTTGACAGTCAGTCAGAAAATATAAGTTCATATTTTTCCTTCCTTTTATTATGAAAGTTTTCTTGATCATTTAATAGTTTGAAGCCTATTACTAAAAATTATCATCTGAAAACATTTAAAAACAACACAGCACAGCATCGCATAGTTAAATTCCAATGATTATTATAACATTGTTTCCTTTCTGTCTTGTTTGCCTATTAAGATTAGAAATCAACCGAAGCATGTTTTTCATCTCAGACCTACCCATTTTGAGAAAACTCCATTGCTCTCATTTGATTAAGTTTACCATTCATGGGTTTTGAGTGAGCTCAATTAAATTCATTGGGATGTATTGCAGGGTAGTATTGCATCCATTGGCAGCCTAAGAAACTGAAGGTTCCAAATTCTGTTCAGTTATATACATCCAAGCTGAAAGAGCTTTCCTGGTACACCGCAGTGCCATCCTGCTTTCTTTAGGAATTTTATTCCCAAAATGTGAAGATCCTTCCAAGGTACTCAAGATTGCTGAAATTGCTATTAAAGATATTCAATGGATTTGAACAACCGGTTTAATGGAAATTTGGAGTAGAGGAAGTTAATTTTCAATCTGATCCAAAGCATAAACTACTAGAATCTTAAAAAGTAGCTTCAAGCAGGTATGAAAAGTACAGACAAGCAACGTCAACTGTAAGACATGGTATGCATCAAATATATAATGTGATATCAGCAACCACAGGAAATAATTGTACTGTTACCTGTTCCAGAAATAAGAACAGCTACTTTAACTTTATGCTTTCTGTGTATGGTAGGAGGTGGATTGTCTGCATTTGAAACATCTTTCAAAAATGGCCATTTATTTTGTAGCAGCGCTTCAGAGAGGTTCTTGATTTCTACCTGGGGATACCCTGAAGAAGCATATGCTTAAAATATAGTAACTACAAACATTACATTCAGAATTCATACATTTGGCTTTTTCCAAACATTTCAAACTAATTGTCAGACACAAATATCTATTCCTAAATTGATATTCTGTATTTTTATTCACACTGCCAGAGAATTGAAAGAAGCTATTCATTAGTAAAGTGTTCTGCACAGCATCTTTCTCACTAAGCCCAGTGTTTTCATTACATAGACAGGGATAGGAAACCTTAACATCTTCTGAAGTTTAATTCTAAAGCAACCCTACTTAATGTCTAGACTAGAGAGTATGGGAATTGTAACCCAAGACATCAGGAGATCAACAGGTTACTTAAAACAAGTTACCAAATATCCATAAAAGTTAGGCCACAGTTTGTGGTCTGTTCTAACTCCGGTACTTTTCTAATTAATTTACATACTATAATACAGGAGAAAGATTTTGTGTATATTTTGAGAATCCATTCAAGAAGACAATGCATACTTATACTGCATACTGAAACGAAGACTTGAAATTCTTGTTCTTGTGTCCATATGGATAGAAGTAAAATTATAACAGGATATAAAATTACTAAGAATAACTCTGACATGCATATGAACTTGTATTTCTCTTTCTTCTTGAACTGGAGCTAAATGTATATTAAAACAAACTCAGCACTGTATATGTACCTGCTTGAAAAACCACAATGTGAATTTGAAATAGTTTTGGTTCTTAAATTGGTCATAACTATTTTCTGAAATCTGATGGATTTTCATAAGTATCTCATAAATTCTGATATAGCTGCAGAAACTTAACACAGATTATTTAAAACCAAGAAGAATTCTTTCTACACTTTAACTGTTCTTATACATGCTTAGTCAATTAAGTAACCTGCAGTTCGGTGGACAACTTTTCCAATCACCCATGCATCCTCATGTTCCTGGACATCCTTCAGCACTTTCTTGGCAGCTTCTGTCTGGACTATTAAAATAGCACCAATCCCACAGTTAAATATTTGCCCCATCTCCTCTTCTGAGAGGTTGCCTTCCTCTTGGAGCCAAGAGAAAACCGATGGAATCTTCCACTTATGGGTATCTAAAAAGCAGATGATTTGTAAAGTATATCCCAGCTCTTACACAGCAGTGTGAATATAGATTATATTCTATTGTCCCAAAGGTGTTTTTTCAAGAGGCAACTGGATTTTCTGGCCCGAAAGTTTAGTTGCCTCTTGAAAAAGCACCTTTGAGACAGCCATCATCTGGATGACTGAGAATCTCCATAGATATTATGTTCTGTTCCTTTTAATATCACAAGCCAGATTAATCTTATGATTTGAAAAGGGGAAAAAAGAAACATAATAGGCAGCTGAAAGTATGATTGAGAGGAATGTGATCACAGACCCCAGGATCAAAATGAATGATCTGGCCCTTTGATCTCCAATATGGTCCAAAGTGTCATAGAAGTTTCCTTTGGGTCCTCCAGAATCTACTATATGCTCCAATTACCTTTCTTTGTTTACATATTTAAATCTTTTTTTTTTGAAAAAGGGAAATAAGCATGTTGCAATGCAATATGCTAGTCTCCAGTAACATCTTGATTTCCAAAAGTACCTTTGGTCATCAAATGGGACTTATAAGCTTTTTTAGAAAATATAAATGATAGGTGGGCTTGTTTGAAAGTAAACCATAATACTAGAAGAAAAGGCAAAGACAAGCAGAGGAAATCCAGATGACAGGAAGTAATAACTACTCAATGATAAAGCATCAATTTATCCAATTGCTATCTTCTTTTGGCATCCACTTTGTGAATTGGTAAGCTTTCCATAACCATTTTGGAACATTACCAATAAAATGTTCTCAAAATTCCAAATGTGCTTTCCAGCCCCTCAAAGTTGGGTATTCCCACACAGGCTTTTCCTGTTAATTCCCAGACCAGAAATTAAAATCAAGTAGTTGATTTTTGATATGACCAGAATCCCAAGGGTCTATTCTTATATCCTTAGATTCCTATTCTCCTCTTAGAACAGTATAGAAAATCTTGGAATTGATAGCATAAGAGACACTGAAACTTGTTTCCTAAGGAAGTGATTTTCCTCTTCCATCCTTTCTTTCATGAATTTTCCACATTCCACATTTTTTCTTTTCTATCCCACTGAATTTATTAGACAATATATTATGCATTATACAGTCCATTTACACTATACATTATGTTACACATGTCCAACAGAGGATATGTCTACGCTCTTCCTTTAGCAAATTATTTTCACTGTCTTATCAGACATGAAAATATTTTAAAACATGTAGCCCCAAACTACACTTGGTAAAACATGCCAAGCCTTTTCTACTTACCCAAAACAACACTAAAGCACTCAGGAAGGATCTGGGAAAAACCTCCCAACAATCCTCCATCAGCAATATGGATAAAGGCTTTCACATTTCCTGAACGAAGGACAGGAAGGAGGGCTCTGCTATAGATTTTGGTTGGAGTTAGCAACTGTTCTCCTGTTAAATACAAGAAAATTAATTTTAAGAAACAGAAGATAACTTAGTAAACTGTTTTCTGTTTACTAAGGAAACAAAATAAATTAAATTCCTAACCTCAGAATATTCTAGAGATGATCCCCAACATTTAACAGAAGGTACAAAGAGATGCAATCAATGCAATAAAACTATATAACAGTATTAATGCACAATGCCTAATGACAAAACATTACTTCTTTTCAAGAAAAGTGTGGAATAAAAAGTGGCAGATATGTACATGCCTAAAGTATGGTTGCCATATCCACCAGGAACTGGAGAAAAATAGTGTAGGGACGATGTTAAAAAAATCTTTCTCACAAGATCAAATCCTTGGTGATGAAGCCCTGAAGAAGCTATTCCGATCACAAGATCTTCATCGACAATGTTCCCTTGCCGAGGAAACTTCATGCTTCGCTCCACAGCACCAACTGCAAAGCCAACCAGGTTGTATTCTCCAGCTGCACAAGTGGCAGGCATTTCATTGGTTTCTCTTCCTGGGAAAAAGGGGGGGAATCAAATACAATGCATCCCAAGAAAGGCTAGAAACCATCTTTCCATTAAAATCCAGTTTAAAATAGCCCACATTAGTAAAAGTTGCCTGACTTCTGATTTTATATCACCAACAACAAAATGTACTATACTGATAAAGGACAACAAAAGTATGCACAAATGAATAAATTGGAGGCATGCTTTCAAAACCCATACACATGTGCACGCAACAAATACAGTAATTATATATCAAATTATATATTAAGATCTGTAAGATCCACAACTTTGTTCAGTTTAGCCACCCCAATAGTCTTAAACTGATAATCTAAATGTATACAATCAGTCCTAAACTGAACATACATCTCTCTGTAGGATAGATGTTGAATGTACTCCGAGTACAATGCTAGCAGATTACTAGATTAGTAGTGCCTAATAGTTTGAAAACACCATTCTTTTTCTTTATAAAAGAAAAAACAACAAGCTAAACTCTTGTTAATCTCTACTCATGGAATGAGGAAACAAGTTATGGTGATGATGGTGGTGGTGGTGATGTGTGTGTGTGTGTGTGTGTGTGTGTGTGTGTGTGTGTTTCTTATCTGGAATAGTCAGGGGTGGGATTCAATTTTTTTAACAACCGGTTCTGTGGGTGTGGCTTAGTTGGTGGGCATGGCTCGGTGGTCATATGACTGGATGGACGTGGCTTGGTGGTCATATTATTGCTTGGGCATGGCCAATTCAATATCATTCACTTCAAGGCACCATCTCCTCGCCTGGCCTCTCATGACTGTGGGGATGCTGCAACAGTTGTAAGTGTGAAAAATGGTCATAAGTCACTTTTTTCAATGCCATTGTAACTTTGAATGGTCATTCCACACAAGCAAAGTACCAGCAAAGGAGGGGAAAAAAACTCCAGAGAAGTTCCTGAGACAGGAAGTCTAGTCCTGCCAAGAATGTAATAAGGGTTAACGGAGAGGCAGTTTCTTTAAGCAACACCAGAATGTTTCCTTCCTGCCTTCCTTACAGGATTAGGCCAGTAATTTCTTCCAACAACCAGTTCTCCGAACTGTTTAGAATGTTAACAACCGGTTCTAGCGAATAGGTGCGAACTGGTAGAATCCCACCCCTGGGAATAGTCCTTAATTAGGACATCTGCCCACATAAATTTTGCCCTATACCGGAAGTACATTCACATCTGAAGATGAATGATTATATCTGGCTGCATTATATTGCATGTATGGTGCTAGAGCTTTGCAGAGCCTATGGACAGGCCATTTTTCTATTGGCCAGAAGTTCTACATCACCTCTCTTCTTAGGTTCTACATTGTACACTGTAGAAGTACTATCTGTTCTTCTCCAAAAGCTATAGAGTAGTATCCTTTTCCTGTGGCCTGCCTATAAACATTCTAAATAATGCTTCTCTTTTTCTTTCTGTTCAGTTGCTATAGCAGTGGGCAACCATGGTTAAAAGTATTGCAATAATACCAAACATTTTATCATAACGTAACAAAAGAAGAATCATGCCTTTGTGGCTAGGAAGTTATATGATAGCTCAGAATGTTTTGTCTGGGTGGTTTGCAAATGGACAAATGTGCATAACGTGTACTGAAAATGTGCAGGAGAGGGCCAGTAGCTGTCTGAATGAGGGTGAGAAGAATTTTCCTACTCCACAAGGAAAAGATACTGCTTAAGCCTTAGGTGACTTTCCTTTTGGCCCTGCATTGTCTCAGTGTTTCAAGCTCAGCAGAAATGAAGTTCTTTATCAGGGATTAGGGAGTAGAAGTAGCTTAAAACCTGTTTTGAAAGTGCTCATACCAAGGAAGGTGCATCCTGCCACTTTACAAGCTTCAGCTATCCCATCTGATATAACCTGAGTGAGCTGAGCCACACCAACATCCGGTTTCCCAAATGCAAAATGGCCATGGAAGAAGAGAGGCTCAGCTCCTTGAACCAGCAGGTCATTGACGCATATAGCCACCAAGTCCTGACCAATCATGTCATGCTTATTGCACAACTGGGCAATCTGTAATAAGACATACAAATTAGCCACAAATTGCAATGAAAATAGCTGTTCATACAAAATATTACTTCAGTGTATTTTGATGGATCCAAAAACTCAGCTGAAAACCTTCCCATATTGTTTGGACACTAAAAAGCTTCCACTGGTGCAGCAGAAGAATGTACAGTAGTCCACATTTTCTCTCTTCTCTGATGATTATTAGGAAGTATGTAGAAGCTGCACTGGAAGGGATAATTCGGGATAAAATAAACCAGCTATTTCACAAAAGGGGTTGGGATTTTCAATAATTCAGAATAAACAGTTATGAGTAAATAATTACAGTAAAATATGATCAATTGTATGAGCCTTGCAGAATCACACCAGTTATCTTCCTAGCAATCTAATGAAAGCCACAAAAAGCAATAGATATAAATGTAACTTTGAGAAAGGGAAACAAGTAGTTAAAAAGACTTCACACTCTTACATAAATTGCATTTACTCCAACCTTAATGTTTGAAGATATTTTGTCCAGCAAGATTATATCATCAATCCAGGAAAAAGGAAATAGAAAGGGAAAAAGACAAAGGAACAAAGCAGAGTTTATTGAAAATTATGGGGGACAGCTATATAGGTGGACTGACTGCACATTGCCAGTGTAGAAAAATAAAAACAGTAGTTCAAAATAAACAAGTAAGTGAGTTTTGTCTTTATGAGCAAACCATTCCCTTCTGATTGGATTAAAGAAAGCTTATGATTTTTTAATCACATATTTATGTACAAGCAATCATGTCCAGTTTTAAGATGGATGTACCTCTGGTTACCTTAAGTTTTGTTCCAATGCCTTTAGCATGCGATACTAGAATTGGATCGCGATAACCAGAGGCTTTCAAATCAAAGATGGCAGGAATGGACCCATCACGCCCAGGGCAACCTGCAACCCATAAAAGATATTATGGACCATAATATTGCTTCAGAAAACTTAAAACATCACTATTCTCCATTTAAATTCAACATGCTTGTAGGAAGATGAAGACATAGTGGAGGAGCACTCTCTAAGTTCTCATATTAGATTCACATATGCACAGGGATCATTATGTATTGCATAATTTGGTGTAACAGGTATAAGCTGCAATATGTGCTGTATAGGAATCAATACAATTACTCAGAAAAAAAAAATCTATATTCATGGTAATATTCCAGCTGTTCTCAATAACAAAATGGCTACTGTTATCACAGGTATCAAATAAGGTTATAAGTCCATACTTAAACTATGAACTATAGCTGGCATCAGATGTCTGTGTGTGTGTGTGTGTGTGTGTGTGTGTCTGTGTGTCTGTGTCTGTGTAACATGACTATTATATGAATCTGGCTTCCCCACTGATTTTGCTTGTCAGAAGGTTGCAAAATATGATCACATGACCCTGGGACACTGCAACAGTCATAAATATGAGTCAGTTGCCAAGCATCCGAATTTTAATCACATGACCATGAGGATGCTGCAATGGTTGTAAGTGTGAAAAACAGTCATAAGTCACTTTTTTTCAATGCTGTTGTAACTTTGAGTGGTCACTAAATGAACTGTTGTAAGTAGAGGACTACCTCTATTCACTGAAACAATTCCAACTAGTGGCACATTATTAGTATAAAAACAAATTTTCTTTGTGGCAAATACCACTGTAAAAATGATTTACAACTCTGCCACTTTAGCCTCTTTTTTGTTTGAGATTATAGCAGGTACCAACACATGGTGATGCTAATTGCTAAAAGTCTTGCTAATAGAAGATGAAAGCTGAGCAGCAGGTATTATCATCCAACAGCTGTTTCTATATTCTATTCAATAATTACAATAAGTGAAGGTGGAACAATCAAGGGATGTTGGCAGTTCTACAGAAGAAACTATGCCAGCTCTCACTAGGTCAGCTAGTGGGAAAAGAACTATAAGCAGAATAGCAGGGAGGGGTGAAGGGGGTGGAAGCAATTTCTACTTGTTTTCATTATGAGTTCTATAACATTGCACTTTATCAAGGTTGCGTATTTGAAGATGGTAAAGTGATAAGTGGAGATCCCAAAGATGAGGCAACTTTTTTCAAGAAGGGTCCACACACATCTGCACTACTCAACTGACTCTGAGGACACAGATAAACTTCCAAGTTGCCTCAATCAGTGGTGGGATTCAAATAATTTAACAACCGGTTCTCTGCCCTAATGACTGGGTGGGCATAGCCAACTTGATTGGTCTCACCCTTAGGAAATTTCTCCTTAGTCCAACTCACAATAAAATAGCACTGTTCCAATATTTAGAATAGAATAACCGAGTTGGAAGGGACCTTGGAGGTCTTCTAGTCCAACCTCCTGCTTAGGCAGGAAACCCTACACCACTTCAGGCAAATCATTATCCAATCTCTTCTTAAAAACTTCCAGTGTTGGAGTATTTACAACTTCTGGAGGCACGGTGTTCCACTGATTAATTGTTCTGTCAGGAAATTTGAGGGGCCCTTACAAAAATGAGGGAGTCAATCTATTTTCCAAAGCACCAAAAGGCACAACAAGAAACAATGAATGGAAACTAACTGAAAAGAGAAGCAACCTGGGACTAAGGAAAAAATTCCTAAGGGTGAGACCAATCAACCAATGGAATAGCTTCAGAGGTTGTGGGTGCTCCATCACTAGAGGTTTTCAAAAAGAGTGAGGGAAGTACACCCCAAAAGGACAGTGCCAGGAACTACTAAAACAATGCAGAAAACTTAAAACAGCCATTCCCCACCTTTTTAAAAAAAGTCAACCCCAAGGCAAATGCAGCAGCTGAGAGAGAAACTAATAGCAGCCCTCATGCTAATTGAAAGCCTGGGCATGCTGCCAAAAGTCATTATTGTATGTTCTCTATATTCTAAATTGGGTGCTTCACAGCAGAAGCAATGCAGCTGGCTGGACCACACATGCAATAAATTCACAGCCTATATGATCAAGCTGCATCATTGTCCCCTCCTGTATCTTTTCCTCCAAGAAGAAACAAGAAGTAGCCATACACTGCAGCAGCTATAAAAGATCTTAGGGAACTCCAGGGAGTATCAGCTGATCACTTAATAGTCTATAATGAAAATGTTTGTAATCTTGTCCTTCTTCCTGAAGGGAAGAGGTTAATCCTATCCCTAGATGAGTGATTGATGGTTTCCCTGCCCTAACCCTGTCAGTTTCTGTTGTTTATTGACTAAATTCAGTATATATCAGCTGCATTCCAGCTGCAACTATTAAGTGGTTCTTGGCTGTCTGCCCAGAGCTATTAACTGAAGGGAGAGAGGAAAAAAAAACCTCTCTTGCACTTTATTTTTAGCTGGTCCTCCAAACTGCATAAACAATTAACTAATGGTTCAGGGCCTCAATGACTCTCTAAAACACAGGTGTCAAACTCATGGTGTCATGTTGCCTCACGTGATATTTCACAACACTTTTTCCCTTTGCTGAGTGGGGTGGGTACGGCCTGTGTATGATGCATCTGCCCAAGGGCCAACAATTTGACACCCCTGCTCTAAAAGAATGCAAATGATCAGCTGTTTGCAAGGAACCCTTCCATTCCCCACCATTCAGTCAGAGCTGAAGAAGCTTCTTGGATGAGAAGCGAAACACCTTCAAAGAAAAAACAAGAAAGTCCAGTTGCCTCTTGAAAAAAGCACATTTGAGACAACCATGACCTGCATGACTAAGAATCTCCATAGACAATAAGTGGACATACACCCAATTAAGTACTGTACATATTAATGGATTCATATTACTTGAACTTGATTCCTTGATAATTCTACTAATTAAAAGTAGAATATCTAGATATAACTACATTTTCCAAGGCAAACATATTTGCTTTTAAATGATACACTGATGGGTAACACTGGAGGCCATCTTGGAAAAGATATTCCCTCTGCTGTGTGTAGGAAAATGGGAATGATTATGAACTTTTCTTGGCATATGTAATATGAAAGACTGATGATGTGCCATTATGTAATTTTCAACTCCAAACGACCACATAGATATTCTCCCTTACCTGTCCCTTACCTAGTTTTTAAGGTATTCCAACTGTGCACTCATTGCCAAAACTGAGCTCATCCAACTGGCTGCTTGGTTTAAATACATTCAGGCTTATTATCCAAATAACCAGAAATTTCAGTTTATTATTAAGCAGTCCTATGAGAGAATGGAAAACCTTCTCTGCTGCTGTTATTGATTCATAGAAATCAAGACAAGTTATTTAAAAAAATAATAAAGATGGGATGATGGGGTCTGTAAATGAAAATCACTCTTGTGCAAAGAACTAGAGAAGAACTTCTGAGCTAAGTGAAAACAATCCAGGAAACTTTTGCCAAGGGTTGTTTGGTTCATCCTGAACAACAAACGTATTTTAATTCCAAGTTCATTGAGAATTCTTCCATTCATCCTTCCCTTACCTAGCTTGGTACCCCTTTCAGGGGATAACACAGATGAATGATCCAAGATACTGCATGCAATGGAATCTGAAATTCTATCTTCATGTGATGGGGACCTCAATCAGAAAAAAATGCAATTGTAATTAATAAAGGAGACATTTACAGAACTCATAACAGGAGACTACATTGCAGTAAATATCAAACACCATGTTGACTGCTGATGCTATTAAATGAATTTACATCCAGAGAAACAGTGAAAAAGTTCTGCATAAAAACATAAGAAACCTAATACTTCCTGTACTTGAAACTATTGACAAACTATTTTTGTTCAATGGTGTATCTATAGAAAAGAACATTTGTAGCTCAGCTCAGCACAGCTCCTGGTTGAATTGTGAGGTTTCTGGTTCTTTCTGAGCTTGGTTGTTTTCTTGCAGACATTTCATTACCCAACTAGGTAATATCATCACACGCTCAGAGAGCAGCAAGGATCTGTCAATGGTACATATTAATAAGTGATAAATAATGCCAATCATATTACATTAATTGGAATTGCTTATTAGTTATTGCTTATTTAATGAATCTTTATTGAATATTATAGTGGTCTTAATAGAATGGTTTACTTGGCCTGCTATGATTTGAAATAAACTGGTATTGTCTGTACAGTTAGATCTTCCCTTATGATCACATTTGGACCTGGAATCTCAGTTGTTGAGTGAAGTGGTCATTAAATGAGATGCCACATGACCGTTTTGCTCAACAACTGCAATCCTGGCTCTCCCATTTTGCCACGGCTGCAGTGGAGGTAAAAAGATTCAATACAGTTCTACTCCATCATTGACTTTTATGTATGTCATCCACCAAGAAACCAAAACTATCTCAGTTTCAATGTTGTCTGGAGATAAGATGCTACCACATGTTCCAATATTTGCTGAAGAAACACAAGTTAGATACTGTGGCAATTAGCTAAATTGATATAATTCCTCTGAATAGTTTTTCTATATCTTTAATATGTACTAAAGAAATAAAATAAATGATTAGAATCTTTATAAACCATGTTCATAGATATGTTTTTTGGTTTTTTTAGGTTTTGAGATATAAATTTATTTTTATATTATTTTATTATGTTATGTTTATGTTATGTAAGCCGCCCAGAGTCACTGACAATGGGTAGGCAGCCATATAATTTTTTAAAAATAAAATAAATAAAAATAAATACATTCCCAGAACAGTTCCCATTTTTGTTTAAGATGCTGATTGCAAGAAAAAGTCTAGGAAAAGTCATAGGTCATGGTTTAGTACATGTTATTTTCCATTGTTCACATACACAAACTGTCTGAAGAATGCAATAGTTTGATGGCGAGTTTCTTTTCCGTAGGTTGCACCCTGGATAGAAACGACTGCTAGTCCTTTGTAGATAGCTTCAAGGGCTGACGTGATGTCCTGTTTGACAGCTGTTACTGTAAGGATTCTGTTTCCATTACTCAGCACTTTGCCTTCCTTTATTATAGTAGCTCCATGAAATATTTCAAGGCCTAACTCATTAGCCTGAAGAAGCCCTAAACAAATTAAAAGAAAAAACGGCATCATTATTTTTCTCACAATATTTTCCATAAATAGTTATTACTGTACTGCAGTTATATGGACAGTTCCCATACTCTGTGATGACTGGGAGACAAATTTTCTACTAATGAAAAATCTTCAATTTAATTATTTGCTTCTGTTATAGAAACTCTTAAAAAAGGACAAACCTAGGAAATAATTAAGAATGTTACATCTCAGAGGGAGTTCTAAGATGCTATTCTTTGAGCAAACATGACTATCATCAAATATCAGAAGAGAAGACCGAGACATAAAATACATAAAAATAAGGAACTTACCAGTGATTTCCATGCTTTTTTTATGACCTTGCAGATAGCTGCCATTTTCCATGGAAACTGACACAGCAGTACAATTATCTGACCAAGCCAATATAGAATTGCAGAGCTGGCCACTAAGTGCAGCTTGGATAACTTCATAAAGATCACTCTTAAGAAGTTGAAGAATTATCTACAAAATTATGTAAAAAATCAAATACAAGTACTATAGTAGTTCTAACTTCAGAATTCAGTTTTGTTGTTCTTTCTTTTCCGAAATGCTGTATTTGTGTCTATCTACTGGACCTGTATAAGCACTAACATAAAGAATGATATTTTCAGGGAACATGGCAAAGCAGGAAAGCAATGGAAATTCCCTTTGGGCTCTATAGAAGAAAATATACTAGTATAATCTAGAAGCTAAATCAGCATCTCCTTTCTTAGCTCACAATGTTAATGCAGCATTATCAGCTGTAATGTACAAAGCATTAGACAACAAAACATAACAGAAAATAATCCAGTCCAAAGCATTAATTTATTGTTTTAGTGTTTCATTGGAATTATGTATCTCTCCTTTACCTGGCACTGTGGGTCACCAAAATGACAGCCAACACTTAAAACTTTCACACCATATTTAGTAAGCATCAATTCTACTTGCAGCACACCTACAGGGGGGAGGCAAAATAATGAATTTGTTTACATGTCTTAAAAGAGAATACATTATCTGTCTTTTTTGCCTGTGGATTTAGGGTTTGTATTCTGAATCAGGGACCCTCACACATCAGTTTTGTTCTCAGATCAGTCCTTACCTGACGCATGTAACACGACATCTCATAGAATAACATCTGAAGCAATCTTTTGCTAACAAATAAAATCAACTGAGATAGATTTCTAGGGGCTCCCACATACACAACAAGACACAACATCCAGAGTTATATCCAGGGTGCCAGAACTAGACCAGACAATTCTGTGGAAAATGAACTATTCCTCATAAGCTTCTTCAGAGGCATTCAATTAAGCACATCAAGCAGCTGGACTGAAATAGGATTCACAGCTGTGAGCTCTCAGGCTTTGCACAGTAGGCCAAAGGTCATTCTCCACTCAGGAGCTGTTTTCCTCTTTAATATTTTATTATTTGTTTTACCATTTAAAAGAGCAGAATTCTACTCACCAAATAAAATGGGGCTGTTTTCTCCTTCATTTTCTTGTTATGCCTGAACTGAGATTTCAATAATAAGTTTTGTAAGAACTATGAAGTCACATGCAAGACTTTAGTGAGGTGGGATGGTTGCAATCCTGAGACCATTAGTTGTGCATAACTAATTTACTGTACAGTCAACAATTCCTTTAAAAAAATCAAAGATAAGTATAGCCCCTTACCTGCATATGACATACCTTCTTGCTTCATACTTTCAAGAATGTGTTGAAGGAGCGTGCTTTTAATTTTTTCCAGGAGAACTTCAGAAACCTAATAAGTTAAGGAAATGAACACATTGAGAATTCTATATTGTACATTCTCTTCAATAGCAAGACACAAACACAAGCACTCAGTTTACTACAACAGCACATCGTCTAAATACGCATTGCAACCTAAACAGAAGTAAGGGCATGCTTCAGAAGTCAAGATGCCATTGATTACCAATACTTATGAATCATTCAATACTGTCAGTGCATATGTGTGTATCTGTGTACATTGTGTGTGGGGGTTGTTTCAGTATGGCTATGGCTGTGTTTAGAAGTGCAGTTTTTACATTCTTAACAAACACAGAACTTCTAATTCTCTCCTGCCAGGCAGAAACATTCCTATCCTTGTGTTCCAAGGATAAACATGTGTATAGTATATATGTGCTAAAATACAATGTCCTTGTACTTTGGTACCAGAGGTTCCATATTTTAATGAAGTGCACAGCTTACTGTATCTTTGTTTCTTTAGAGAAAGGAAGCCAACAATATAACTGAACTTTTTAAAAAGATAAAGTTGAATGATTGTTTACTCAGGAAGCCTACTAAAGTAACCAAATGTTCACTTATTTATTTAATATATAAGGCTTCTTGATATCTTTCAGTAAGATCATGGACCAAATATGATGCACCTTAGGAAAAGGGGCAAAGGCTCCTATGCCAACAATGCTTGCACTCTGATGGTCATTCAGCAGCTGCTTCTGGACCGAAACTGGTGGCATGGGAATAAAAGTGGTTCCATCAACAAAGCATAAATACTGGAAGGAGAGCAAAAGAGACTGGATTATATATATGGTAAATGAAATCCATGTTTTTATTGTATTCATATTTCAATTAACACATACTAGACCTGCAAACTGTGCAACAAGCCTTTCCAACTACACTGCTCAAAAAAAATAAAGGGAACACAAAAATAAGACATCCTAGATCTGAATGAATGAAATATTCTTATTAAATACTTTGTACATTACATAGTTGAATGTGCTGACAACAAAATCACACAAAAATTATCAATGGAAATCAAATTTAGCAACCCGTGGAGGTCTGATTTGGAGTTACACTCAAAATTAAAGTGGAAAAAAACACTACAGGCTGATCCAACTTTGATGTAATGTCCTTAAAACAAGTCAAAATGAGGCTCAGTAGTGTGTGTGGCCTCCACGTGCCTGTATGACCTCCCTACAACGCCTGGGCATGTTCCTGATGAGGTGGCAGATGGTCTGCTGAGGGATCTCCTCCCACACCTGGACTAAAGCATCCCCCAACTCCTGGACAGTCTGTGGTGCAACGTGGCGTTGGTGGATGGAGCGAGACATGATGTCCCAGATGTGCTCAATTGGATTCAGGTCTGGGGAATGGGCGTGCCAGTCCAATGCCTTCGTCTTGCAGGAATTGCTGACACACTCCAGCCACATGAGGTCTAGCATTGTCTTGCATTAGGAAGAACCCAGGGCCAACTGCACCAGCACCATCTCACAGGGGGTCTGAGGATCTCATCTTGGTACCTAATGGCAGTCAGGCTACCTCTGGTGAGCACATGGATGGCTGTGTGGCCCCCTAAAGAAATGCCACCCCACACCATTACTGACCCACTGCCAAACCGGTCATGCTGGAGGATGTTGCAGGCAGCAGAACGTTCTCCACGGCATCTCCAGACCCTGTCACGTCTGTCACATGTGCTCAGTGTGAACCTGCTTTCATCTGTGAAGAGCACAGGGCGCCAGTGGCAAATTTGCCAATCCTGGTGTTCTCTGGCAAATGCCAAACATCCTGCACAGTGTTGGGCTGTAAGCACAATCCCCACCTGTGGATGTCGGGCCCTCATACCACCCTCATGGAGTCTGTTTCTGACCGTTTGAGCAGCCATATGCATATTTGTGGCCCGCTGGAGGTCATTTTGCAGGGCTCTGGCAGTGCTCCTCCTGTCCCTCCTTGCACAAAGGCGGAGGTAGCAGTCCTGATGCTGGGTTGTTGCCCTCCTACAGCCTCCTTCACGTCTCCTGATATACTGGCCTGTCTCCTGGTAGCGCCTCCATGCTCTGGACACTACGCTGACAGACACAGCAAACCTTCTTGCCACAGCTCACATAGATGTGCCATCCTGGAGATGAGCCACTTGTGTGGGTTGTAGACTCCGTGTCATGCTACCACTAGAGTGAAAGCACCGCCAGCATTCAAAAGTGACCAAACCTTCAGCCAGAAAGCATAGGAACTGAGAAGTGGTCTGTGGTTACCACCTGCAGAACCACTCCATTATTGGGGATGTCTTGCTAACTGCCTATGCTTTCCACCTGTTGTCTATTCCATTTGCACAACAGCATGTGAAATTGATTGTCAATCAGTGTTGCTACCTAAGTGGACAGTTTGATTTCACAGAAGTGTGATTGACTTGGAGTTACATTATGTTGTTTAAGTGTTCCCTTTATTTTTTTGAGCAGTGTATATTCTGACTTCTTAACTGAAGTTTGTTTCACAACAGGGTGGTTAATATTATCCCCACAACTGTCTATTCCTCTCTGTTTTTCTTCTTCTTCTTTGCCAAATCCACAAACCTTCATTTTTCCTTACTTTGAACTCCATGAATGTGGAGGTGAGAAAGGAGCAATGTAAGAAAACACATTTCTATGACACCTTCTCCATAATGCTTTTAAAATTATATTTTTTCCTGGCTTTTAATAATATTTTCAAATGAAATTCTTGAAAATGTCAAAGCTTGGTACTACCATATTTTTAAAACTTTAATTGCCCTAAAAATGTTGGATATATGCATTCACCCTCAGCCCCCTCCCCACCTCATATATACATACTCTCTTTGTGTGTATGTGTGTGTGTATCAGTGGTGGGATTCAAATTTTCTTACTACTGGTTCTGTGGGCGTGGCTTGGTGGGTGTGGCAGGGGAAGGATGCTGTAAAATTTCCAGTCAGAGGTGATATTTGCTGGTTCTCAGAACTACTCAAAATTTCCGCTACCGGTTCTCCAGAACTGGTCAGAACCTGCTGAATACCACCTCTGGTGTGTATATATACATACACCACACATATATAATCACATTAGAATATGTAATCAGGATAAAAAGCAACCCAAGCAAACAATGGTAATTCTGACCCAAATATTTAATGAAACAACATACTGAAAATTCTTCCCCTTTAAGGAGTTCTTCAATGATAACCATCTCACAGGAGTCTCCAGAATGACAACTCATGTTGTCCTGCATTATAAATAGAATAGCCACTGGTCAATCTTTTTTTTTAATCTTTCCTTTTTTTTAATGAGAAACTATCTTTACAACGTTTCCAACACAATAACACTTCATTTTTCACATATAAAACTTTTTGTAGAGTATATTCTACTCATGGGTAATACAAATCAAATCCTTAATAATTTCTTATCTTATATGATCACAATTAATTATAGAATTAGAATTAGAGTCCAACACCTGCTCACTTCAGAAATGTGTCTTGAGGTAATCATAGTATCATGTGGGGGACTATACACACCAGCATATCTGCATATATAATAGCTACTGTATTACATTGGAAAGTTAGGTCTAGAGGTGACAGTGGAATCAGTGTTTAATTGTCCTTGTAATAACAGAAAAGGTACAAGTTTTGTTCCTGAGATGGTAGCTTTCTTTAGGCAGGAAATATTTCCTATGGAACAGTTTTAAAGGCGATGATGTCCTCTACATTCTCTTATGCTAGGAAGAGGATTCATCGCTTGTGTTTATAGAAGATAACTAATTAAATTGAGTGCCACTGCTAGGAAGATGTTTAATTTTAATCATATCATAGATAAGCTTTTCTCTTTGTCAGTACTATTTTATTAGAATATTTGTATCCTATTTTGGATTACACAAGTCAATGGTCAGAAGAAAATACACTGAAAACAAAGAAACATTTAGCAGAGATCTGACTCTGCATTTATAATATACAGAAAAGAAAGCATACACCATAAAATGTAGTTTATAATCAGTTTTGGCCCACTGATTCACTAATTCACTTTAATATATCGCAACTTCACTTATTGAATTCTGTAATCTTACTATTATAAAGCAATTATAAATCAAAATGAATCACATTTGGGGTTCACATATTGTCTGAAGTCATAATGTGATTTAATTTACATAATGTGTATTTTCTTAGTATTATGTATGAATACAGGGAATATTTTTACATAGAAATGTAAGTCACCTGAAGAATATCTTGTGCTGCCTTAGAAGCATCTGCTCGGTTGGATGCAAGAACTATTTTTTTTCTAGAATCAAAATTACTAGGTTTTATCACCAATGGAGGAAAATCTGCACTTTAAAATAAGATAGAGCAAATTAGAAGAAAATGTACAAGATATGATCTAATATCTCCTTTTATAAAACTACAGATTGGAAAACTATGACAGAATCAAGGATCAACATTATTTGCAAGACTCTTACAATTCTGATCAGCATTATGTAAATACTTCAATAAGGGTGAATATGCATAAGTACAGTCTTGAAGGTAGAGGTCTCAGCGTCCAATCTGGGATCACAATTATATCACAATTATTCCTACTTCCTCTTGAGAAACCTAATAAATTACCCCTAAAGTTGCTGAAAAAAGAGAACTTTGTTCTTTTTTCTAGCCTCATCTACATCTTCTGCCTCTGTTTTGAAAGATGGAAGTCTTAATTTTATTAGCTTATGGAGGGGCTTGGTTAAACTGCCTCATACGAGACTCAAATGTTGATTGACATCTGGCATGAGGTGATAACCTGCATTATTGTGCTTGCAGGCTAGACTTCTCAATAATATGCTTTTTACAAAATGATTATAGTAATCTATTAGTGTCAACGTATTTTTGATTATTTACATTGTTTCTAAGACTTTTTCTATATTATTTTACAAAGAATAATAGTACTAATATTATGAATGCACCAATTATCACATTAAACAGGAGGAAAACCTTCTACGCACCAATTCCACCCACGCTTTCTACAATTTTATAAACAACAAACTAAAAGACTCAAGGTCCATCCCACCCCTGAAAGGACCTAATGGTAAAGACTGCAACGACGACACTATTAAAGCTAACCTCTTTAACACATTCTTTGGCTCAGTATTTGTAAACAGCAATGGATCATGCCCAGTATTTCCTAGTCGAACCACAGACAACTACAATGATCTAATACATATCGATTTTACAGTAGACAATGTTGAAAAAGCACTATGCAATCTAAAACCATCTCTATCTATTGGACCGGATGGAATATGTGCCTACTTCTTAAAAAAGCTATCCACTGCCATAGCTGAACCTCTAAGCATAATCTTCGAAAAATCTTTCAGGACCAGCTCCTTGCCAAAACTATGGTCACAAGCCACAGTCATCCCCATCTTCAAAAAGGGAGAGCCCAGCCTAGTTGTAAATTACAGACTAATCTCTTTATGCTGCATCACCTGTAAAGTTATGGAATAAATTATTAACCAATCCATTATCCTCCAGTTAGAGACAAACAACCTACTCTCTAATAAACAATTTGGTTTCAGAAAAAAACTATCCTGCAATTTGTAACTCTTACACTGCAAAAACATATGGACTACACAACTCGATCAGGGCAAAGCAATAGATGCAATCTACATAGATTTCGGTAAAGCCTTTGATTCAGTGGTACACGACAAACTACTCCTAAAACTAAAATCTTATGGTATCTCTGGACACCTGCATAACTGGATAGAAACATTCCTGTCAAACAGACAACAAATGGTCAAAATTGGGAGCGTCCTATCAAATTCTGTACCTGTCAACAATTCTGTACCCCCAAAGCAGTGTTCTAGGACCAACTCTCTTCATACTCTACATAAATGACCTCTGTGATCATATTAAGAGCAACTGCATTCTCTTCGCTGATGATGTAAAGCTATTCAACACCACAAACAATACGGCTACCCTTCAAAAAGACCTCAACTATATATCAGAATGGTCAAACAAATGGCAACTTCAAATCTCAACAAATAAATGCTCTGTCTTACATATTGGCAAAAAATAATAATCAGAAAATAAAATACAAGCTAAATAGTCAAGACCTTGTTAATGATCCAAACTCTGTCAAGGATCTTGGAGTACTCATCTCTAATGATCTAAGTGCTAGAGTCCACTGTAACTACATAGCCAAAAAGGCATTAAGAGTTGTTAACCTAATCTTACGTAGCTTTTTCTCTGGTAATATTACACTACTAACTAGAGCATACAAAACATTTGCTAGACCAATACTCAAATACAGCTCATCAGTCTGGAATCCACATTACGTATCTGATATTAACATAGTGGAGAAAGTCCAGAAATATTTCACAAGAAGAGTTCTCCACTCCTCTACTCGTTGCAGAATACCTTATGCCACCAGACTTGAAATTCTAGACCTAGAAAACCTAGAACTACACCGCCTTCGGTCCGATCTAAGTATAGTATATAAAATCATACATTGCAATGTCCTACCTGTCAAAGAATACTTCAGCTTCAACCATAACAATACAAGAGCAAACAATAGATACAAACTCAAGGTTAATCGCACCAAACTTGATTGCAGGAAATATGACTTCAGCAACAGAGTGGTCAATGTCTGGAATGCTCTACCTGACTCTGTGGTTTCTTCCCCAAACCCCAAAAACTTTAACCTTAGACTGTCTACTATTGACCTCACCCCTTTCCTAAGAGGTCTGTAGGGGGCGTGCATAAGCACACCAACGTGCCTACCATCCCTGTCCTATTGTTTCTTTTATTTTTCTTATATGTATCCATGTATTCATAACTATGTTTTTACTTACTGTATTTACCGGACTATAAGCCGCTACTTTTTTCCCACGCTTTGAACCCTGCGGCTTGTACAACAATGCGGCATCTATAGATTTTTCTTCGCTAACTGCCATCAGGGGGCGCAAAAGCGTGACAGACGCAAGAGGTCAATGCAAAGAAGAAGACCCTACCGGTAGTTTTTGGCGCACTCGACGCAAGCAGCACGACACGCATGAACGCAAAATATTTTTCACACCCACATCATGGAAAGTACACGAAGAAAAGCATATGATGCAGCTTTTAAGTTGAAAGCAATCGATCTGTCTATCCAGGAAGGAAATAGAGCTGCTGCACATAAGCTTGGCGTTAATGAATCAATGGTGAGACGTTGGAGACGGCAGCGTGAAGAACTGATTCAATGCCAAAGGACAACAAAGGCTTTCAGAGGTCATAAAAGCAGATGGCCTAAACCTGAAAATGTTCTTGAGGACTGGGTGAACAGAGAGCAGACGGCTGAGGTGTATCCACCGTGCAGATCCAACTGAAAGCGAAAACAATCACCAGCGAAATGGGTATTGAAGATTTTAAAGGTGGACC